TGGTGGAAAATGAACCTTGATTTTCTAACACATGGGGTGCGTTTATCCATTAGAGCTTCAACCCAAGCAAGAGACGAACGTTCCGGTGTACATTTCCGTGCATCTCTAGCACTAATGCAGTATTCGGCAAGACTTGGAGGTACTCGTGAATCCATGAAAGCTCTCATTCCTAATTGAGGGATAATAATTAAGGTGACTTGAAGGGTTGCGAATGGATCTATGATACCTGTGCATATCTCTAGAAGAACAATGCCGAAGCTGTACACATCCAGCTTTGTTGAGAGTATCTTATTTGTAATGAATTCAGGTGGAAGGTAGGCGAGGGTTCCCTTCACATGGGACGCTATCAGTGGAGACTTTTCGTCAGCATCTGCTTCAACCTCAAAAACAAAAAGATCAAAAAAAATCATGTTGTATCAGTGAACAGCAGCATTCCTTCAACGTATTTGATAGATAACTACATGCAAAATTTTAGTTACTAATATCGTCTTTTTTCGAATGGAAGATTCTACATAAAAGATGAAAAAATACCTTTCCATCACGGCTTAACCCAAAATCGCCGAGCTTCGGTTCGAAGTGCCTATCCAACAGTATGTTCGCAGACTTTACATCTCCATGAATAATAGGAACACTTCCTATTGAATGTAGGAAATGGAGACCGCAAGCAGTGCCCTCTGCTATTTCCCTTTTCTGCGTCCACGACAATGGAGGAGTTCCGTGCTATATTGATGAGATTTAGCAGAATACTTCGAACACTTGGAGCAACAGAGAAAAAGACACCCACCCTGCACAATAAACGATCTTCGAGAGAACCATTTGACATGTACTGGTATACGAGACATGGCTCCGGGCCTTCGAGAGAAAAGGCATATAAAGGAAGAATGTTGTCATGACGAAATTTGGCTAAGGTTTTCAACTCTTGGAGGCTTTGTCGGAGCCGTTCCCGTTGGATCTGAACCTTCACACATTACTAGAACCCATTGACATTATGAAGAGACCACAATCAACGAGGCGAAAAATGAGAAGCAAAGAATGACTGAAAGCAGGCTACTCACTTGAGCACCCTTGGTACCAGTAGACATGAACCGCTTCACTGCGATTTTGGTGTGCTTCCACTCCCCCACATACACGACACCATAACCACCCTTACCGAGGATGTTCTCGTCGGCAAAATTCGATGTTGCCACCTACAAGCGGACAGAAGAAAAGCTGTTTGAGAAAAATCCATGTACGCAATGAGAACATGTAGATACCTGTAAGTCTGTGTATGGTACGGTAAGCGTATTTTGAAGAGCAGACCAGATAGGATCCGACATATTCCTAAAAGCGATCGAGTTATTTACAAATGAGTTTAACTCCTTCATTGACAGCAAACTCAATTCTCGCTCTGAACATTTGGTTCTAATTTCCGATTCAAACTATTCAGATTCTCTACATGTCAAACTCGGATTTTAAGGACTACAATTAGTGAAAAATGCATGGAGGTCGTATAGAACCAGGGTTAACCGTCCGTTCGCACAATCCATACGAGAAGACGCATTCGCAGGTTTTGAAGGAGGGAGGGGGTCGCATTCGGGGTTGGGAAAGGCTAGTCATGAAATGCGAAGGCGGGTCGTATTTATTTGCTTTTTATGACTTTGGCGAATAATTTTGTAAAAAAGAGGCAAAAGCTAAGGGTTTTCCATTAAACATTATCAGACATGTTTATCCCCTCTCCCCACAATTTCGACGGCCGTCTTGGAAGGAAAAGTGGGTGGAGTTGATGGGTGTCAAGTGCTCCTAGAATATATCAGTCGACGAAAATACCGCCATGATGGCGAGGGCGGTGGTGGGGGATGCTAAAGGGGAAATCGTAATAAGGGACTCCGTCAAGGCTGATGGTGGTGGTGAGAGGTGGTATCAAGACCACCTTCAAGAGGGGTTGGGGGGGGGGGTTCGCAAAAGTTTTGAAAAGTGTGAACGCGAAGGTTAACCTTGATAGGAACAATAGCCTCGTGTGAAAGCAGAGTGAAGGTGCACCATAAATCCGCAGTCACAATTAATCTCGGATGAAGCGATATCTCTCTACCAATGACTACAGCCTTTTTGTCGAATAAAGAAGCTGCGCCCGTGAAAACGGAGTTTGGGGTGGGGTGGGGGCACTCCAGTGTG